GGTGGCTCGTACGATGGCATGTCAGGGAGACGCAGCCCAAGCAATCGATAATGTTGAATTTCTCACCGGTCTGTTGTTTGGGAGATCAGGGAGTACCTTCCATTCTTACTTGTGCAATGTTTTAAAATAAAATTACATACTTAATAGGGTCAGCTTTAAAAAAAAAAAAACATAATTGGTCTGTGAAATCTAAAACATAACTGGTCTGTGAAATCTAAAAGTCTGAGAACTACTGCTACATGCGATTGTATTAAAGAGATGTGAAACACACGAAGAAGTTAGAGCTGAGGTCACGTCAGAAGGAAGCTCTGAACACATCGAAACAGAAGGAAGGAGGCACGGTCCAGCCCAAAGGTAAACTGAGCCCATCGGGAATATTCATGAGCCCTTTGGAATCCTAAAGAGTTAGCTGAGTGAAAACATACTAAAGAACGGGCATTGGACTGGGAGCCCCAGGAAAAAAAATATATTCAGAGTCAGCTGGGTGCTATTTACAGCAGTGGGAAAGGACGGATTTTCCAGTGGAGAAAGTTGGCAGGACAAGGTCAAATACTGGCACGCGAGCTGAGCGGGGAATTCAGATTCCATGAAGGAGAACAGAGGATGAACAAATTTATCTATGCCTGGACAAAAGGGCAGAAAGCTGGCAAAGCTATGCCTTGCTTCATCCCAGGCACAGAGGATGTGCAGGTTGGGGCCAACGAGGCTAGCTTCAGAGACCAGCTGCTGGTAGGGCTGAGGCTCGGCTTGTGGCTCCATCCAAGGTCAAAAAGAGCAGAGAAGGTCGAATAGATTAAAATGAACGGGAGCTTCGGAGTTAGATGGACTGGGTTCAGATCCCGGCTCCATCAGACGGGAGCGATGTAGCCTCGGGCGTGGGGTGGGGGGGTGTCTGAGTGCTTTCCTTACCTAGACGATTTCTCATGCCATTGCTTCTTTGAACTAGCTCTGTCTTCTTGGACAACTCATTGGACCTCTTTAGTCTAAGTTTCCTTATTATTTGGAGGATTGGGACTAAATAATATACAAGAGCCCTCTCAGCTAGAACATTTTAAGGTTCTTTTAGAGCAATCCCCTTAAATCTCTACAGAAAAGTAGTATAGGACAGACAGAAGTTCTAGCCCTGGCTCTGTATCACCAGCTGCTAAAAATTCATTCACATTTCACCCCTGTGTGCCCAAGTTTTCTTATCTAGAAATTGGATAGAAGACCTACAAGTGGGGGGCCGTAGTTACTATTAATTAAGAAAACGGACATAAAAGAACTCTGTTTCTTCTTGTCCCATAAAAGGTGCCGGATGCATTTTTTTTTTTTTTTTTTTAGATAAAATCCGCTCTTTTGCAATGCAGTAAAGTCTTCGTAATCCACAGTGGATTAAGACCGTCGGCGCTAATTTTAAATGGTCCCAAATAGTTGAAATTGTGGAGATTTTTCACCTGATTTTTAGTTTCCTGTTTCCCCTCGAGCACTCAGCTCTTGCTTCTTAATCCCTTGCTGTGCAGATGCTCTTCGCTCTTCATGTTCATCCCACAATGGCCTTGGAAGAAGATGATCAAGTTTGTGGAGTTGTGTGGACACTAAAAAAATGAACACACTTCGATTCTCCCGTGAAAGCTGCTTTTATAAAAATAACTTTTTCGCTCCTCTCCACTCAACAACCGAAGTCCGAAGTTTGGGAATCATGCTAGATTTCTCCCTCTCCCTCCCTCGCTCACATGCCATCTCTACCTTTTAAGCAGTTCTGGAATCAGCTGCCTTCCCCCTACGCTTTGCTCAGTTTTATCCCACGCTGGAAAGAGTCGTGAGCCCAGCGACCACTGGGCGGTTCTCCTGGATTCCTTAGAATTCGGTCCAGTGTAATCCAAACTGCCCAGCTCTCGAGATAGCAGGCTGTTTCTTTTGGAAACCACCTCTGTATTTTGTTTCCCTCTTACAGACGTGCGTTGCTAAGAGATCTTTGGCTTGGCAAGACCACTAGATTTTTGCTAGGGAATCCTGGCTTTGTCTCCACTATTTCCAAAACATCTCAGCCAACCTCAGAGGTTCCACCTGCCATCACCACAAAAGGAAACTACTCTGCTTTGACGCATTCTTGCAAATTCCACGGTGGCCCATGATTACTTGTGACAGATGAGAACAGTCTCGTTAAGTTAAGGGACCATTTACAATGTAGGCTCCGTAATCTTTATGCAAAGATTGCCTCTTTGCTGGTCAGACCACACCCAGGGCAGTTCTGTCACCCCAATATGCATAGCAACACAATTTACAACAGCCCAGATATGGAAGCGACCTAAATGCCCATCGATGTATGATTGGATAAAGAAGTCATGGTTCATAGATACAATGGAATAGTACTCGGCCATCAGAAAAATGAAATCCTACCATTTCCAACGACATGGATGGAACGAGAGGTCATTATGCTGCGTGAAATAAGACAGAGATAGATAAATGCCATATGATTTCACTTATACGTAGAAACTAAGGTACCAAAAGAACAAACTGATCAACGACAGATTCAAACATAGAAGACAATTTGGTGACGCCAGAGGGGAGGGGGTTGGGGGGCTGGGAGAATGGGGTGAAGGGTTAAAGAAGTTCAAGTTAGTAGTTGATAGATGGTCACGGGGATGGGGAGCACGGCATGGGGAACGCAGTCAGCATTAATGCAACGGCAAAGTGGAGCGCCAGAGGAGAGAAGGCGCAGTCAGGGGGATCATTTTATAAACTACGTGAATGTCTAACCCGTGCACTGTATACTTGAAACGAACAGTAAAATAAAATTTAAAAAAGAAAGAAGCCGAGTAATAGGAATGAGTCCAGAGAAAATCAACGAAGGTCCGAATATGATCAATAATAACGCATAAGCAATGTTCAGGTGAACGGCATCAGATGCGGCAGGTAAGTCAGGTAAGGGGACGATCGGATCTTAGCCACGGGGTCCACCGAGGTAAGGCTGACTAAAATGTGTGACGCGCACAGGGAAAAAATTAAAACATGGAAAAGCTCTAATTGACCTAACTGCACACAGCAGAATGGACGTCAGGGAAAGGGTTCAAGGGGAAGTTGATAAAACCATATGTCAGGGAGGTTCTAAGAGCTCATGAGCTGAGACTTTTAAGCGCTTTTATTGTGAAATGCTATGTGTCCGCGGACATCTCACGTTTTTTGATAATGATGTGCTATAGAACCTGCGGGTTTTCCTATCGGTAGAAAAACGCTATGATTTCCAAGTCCCTTTCACCTGAAATTGTTTGGGTGATCCGAGTGATCTAGAAAGAGACTTGACCTTCTAGCATGAAAGCTGCTATATAAATAGAGTAATTTTAGCCGTAATAACTAATGGTCATGATGATGAGTGGCAGTGAAGAAGCCGGCCTGCCATCGGGGAGTCCAAAGCAACCAGCTGTGAGCCGGAAATAACATGTGTCCGAGCCAGGAGGATGCTCGGGGACTGGGACCACATTCACCTTTCAGCCAAAGAGCCAGATCACGTCCCTGACTTGGAGGTGCGAGCATCTGAGAAGAAAGAAAGGACACGCTTATCCCTGAGCGCGAATGCTGCCTCGGGCTCATGAGACCTTTCCCTAGACAGGTCGATGGGGTGCACATTATCTTCCTCTTTCAACAGAGAACGGTGGGGAAGAGCCAGAATTCCAAACCAGAGTGATGACTCTGAGCCCCCAGACAATTCGGCAGAAGGAGAAACCGCAGAGAAGAGCCAGCTTGAAGAAGGAAATGTTGGGATGGTGTGTGCTGCTCAAGATGCCCTGCTTCGCTGCTTTCCATCCGTCTCAGCTGAGAAAGCGCGCCGGTGACATCTTCGGCCCCTCACGCCGTGGGGAGCTAGCCATTCGCTGACACCCCGGAGCTGCTCTTGTGAGCTAGAGGAAGGAGCGCAGGGCAGGAGCCAGCTGAGCGCTCTTGGGCCAGAAGAGAACGCTGCTGGAGATTTAAGAAGTCTCATTGCTGCCAGACGCCTGGCTGATGCTCCCTCTTGAAGGGCCTGGCCTCCCACTCCTCAAAGGTGTCCGAAGACGGGTCACCAGAGGCGAAGAGGAAGGACGCTGCCCTCTGCCCACAAAACTCCTCCACCAAAACCACTGAGTCCGGGAGCTACCAGACCAGGGACCTTGTTGGGAACACGTGAATGTCTTACTTACCTTCTCTCCTTCTACTGAAATTTCATTTTTACGGTCGATAGCTTTCACTTGTATTTTGGCACAGTTTAACATATTTTACCATGTGGAATTTATTCTGATCCTCCTTTTATGTATTGACATCTTTATATTTTTAACCTTTTAACTCATCAATATTCTCTTTTGTGCTTATTCTTTGAAGCCAGTCTATTCTCAAATGTTTAACATTTAGTTTTTCCGTAAAAGATTAATTACTGTTTATCTTTCTGAAAACATCCTCAATTATTTTAAGTCATTTTAATTTTATCTCTTTGAAATCTACTTTTTTAATATTTCTTTATAAGTCTTATCTTGTGATTAACCTTTTTAATACTGCTCTATTTTCTCCATTTGCTACCCCACTGCTTCAGTTTCTTCACGATTGATATTATAAATTGTAGGTCCTTTTTTTTGCTTTTAGCTTTTGAAATTATTTTTTCTTTGAAATTACAATTGCCTTGTGCGTTCCTACAGTAAAAAGAAGCATGCACTCACCAGAAGAAGGAGGCTGAGTCTCTCTACACAAAGTCTGAGACAGGTATGTGTGAATGTCAGCCCCGCCTCCCCTATTGACTGGCCGTGAACTTGGGGACCTTTCCCGACAGCTCACAAAGTCTGAAAATGCTGACTCCTTCTAAAAGACCTGCAGACACTGAAGCTCCCCCTGCATCCTGCTGGCGTGCAGGGGCTGGATGAATTGAAGCACGACCCAACCTTCTCTCCTCCAGCCAACCATTTTTTGGTTATTTCACGTTCGACCATTCCACAGCCAACTGTCAAACATTTCAACCATTCCATTCAGATAAGGCGACACCGTTTTGATAGCTGTATCCAAAATGCCATCAAAGAGAACTGAGAATAAACATTGCTCCGCAGTAAACATTAAGAGGTGAATAAAACCGTTGGTCTTAACCGTGAGAAAATCAGTTCAAGCCCGAATTTTACCACTGACCTACCTGTACCATGTGACCTAGGCAAGTCATGTGATTACCTTGGACAGCAATTTCTCCTTTTTACAAGGAGAGTGTTGAATTAGATTATGTCTAAGTAACCTCTCACAGTACATGCTTATGAATCTATATCGTTCTATTCGAAAACCTATGAGACTGACATCAGTGTGTACGAAGAGTACATTGTGATTTGTACCGGGTACCGAAAGCCCAAGAGAATTCATTCCTATTCCTGCCAGAGAACCAAGACCACCAGGACCTATGCAATCATTCCCACTGGGCAAAACAGGCATTTGTTACCACGGCGACACGATGTGGGGAGGGGGAGTAGGTTGGGCCAGGTGCCAGACGTACTTGCCATTGATGACACCATCTGGGTTGAGCATGGGGATGATCTTGAAAATGAAGTTTTCTCTCAAGAGCCTGGCCACAGGGTCATCACTGACCAGAAACTCCAAGGTCCCCTTCATCACCCAGCTGGCATTGCTCTCTCCTGGGTGAACGCGGGCGGTGATCACCTGGTACGGACGCTGCCCTGTAGGAAAAGACAAAGGAATATAAAACCTAAATCTCCATCAAGACTATGTCCAGGGGGCCACCTAGAGAAGAACGCCGGACTGTTGTGAGGTCTGGAAGAGGCCGATTGTTGCTAACGCATATCTGACATACATTTATTCATGTTCCACCTGTCTCTGTGGTCTGCAAGACTCGAGAGTATAAAGTTAAAAGCCCAAGGCCGTTATGAAAAGCATTAAGTCCTTAGAGGCATAAAATAAGCCAAGAAGCAGATTTTAGTAAGACCACTGGAAAAAAAGAAAAGAACTCCCCAGAGTCTAATAACAGGAAGCCTAACGTCACAGATATGAGATTGATTCCTATCTTCATTGCTATCAGTTGTGACATTGAGACGAATGACTTACGTTCTCCGAGGCCCTTTTATCATCTATAAAATGGGGACGATAATACTGACCTCGTGGGGTTGTTATAAAGACAAAAAGATGCCAATGAAAAGCACTGGGCACATTGTTTGCCATTTAGCACACGTTAATTCCCTCCCTCGTTGATTCTACAGCCTGTGGCTGGAATGATCCCTCTCCTCAGTAAAGAGGAGAATCAAGTACGCAACACGTGCTGGGCACTTGCGACTGTAAGACTCTGAACCCAGTCCTTGAGAGAGACGTGACAACAGAGTGAAGCATCCGGAAGCTCGATCTTCAAGCCGTGATGCTTTCTGCAGTTTGCAAAGGGAATCAGGGAAACTCTCTGTCCCACCACAGGAAGTGCGTGAGCCTGGACAGACCTTACGGAGACCGGGCCAGTGAGAGAAAGGTAGGCTGCCTTCCTTCCTTCCTTCGTCGACAGAGGATGCCGGGAGCATCGCAGTGCCGAGATGCATTCTGAGACCCTCTCCGGCCTCAGGTGGAAAACGTGTTTTGATTGATTAGTGATGTGCGTCCCCTGCCATACACTTGGCGAGGGGGTGATGGCGACAGGTGGCAGTATAGCAGCCCTTCACCATGTCTGCTGTAAGCCCTTGTCTGATTTGGTGGGTAAGTGTTTTTTGTTGCCTCTCTTTTCCTTTTGTATCCTCGGCCAATTCTTAATCGCTCCTAAACCCACTCTTGTGACAAGAAGGAAATATTTGCCAAGCAGAAGGACTCTAGCCGTTTAAACAGCATAAACCAGTCCTTCCTTTCCATATCATGCAAATCACTATGAGTCAAATGTGCCTTTTTCTTCCCTTAAAAAACAGCCTTTTTGAGGAAATGAGCTGTGCTTCTAATTCTGTGTAACGAAAGACAACACTGAATAACTCTCAGTGAGAGATCTAAAGAACAGGTAATAGAAGATACAAAGAAATAAACTTTTAAATCATGTTGCTAAATTATGTTACTATTATTAAGGCAAAAAAAAAAAATACTCTGTCGACAGCCATTGAGACCTGAGTTTGTTTAAATCAGCGCATTTTTTACTGATAATGTTGAAAGCAGGTCACTTCAGCCCCTTGTAGGTTATTTGTATATTGAAGATAATATTCTCCTTAAGCACGTGTCTTGAGCATGTTCCAGGAACTGCAGGAAGCACTGGGTAGAAACAGTTACATAAATTATAGTTCTTGTTCTGTGAGCGGCCAAAGCATTTGTCACTAACGATGAACATGAAATCAAATAATGGCAAGTGGGCTAACGGGGGTGTATCTAAAGCGTGAGAGAGGTCAAGACATTTCAGAGGTGTGCTGCTCTGTGGCCTGGGTCTTGCAGAGCAAGCGTCATCAAACCAGAGAGAGGAAGTGAGGAACGGCCTTCCAGGCAAAGAAAAAGATACACATAGAGAACATAGAGGAGCAGACATGGACGCTTTCAAGAAGGGAGACGCATGGCTGAGGCAAAGGGCTGAGCGAAGTGGCACGTGAACGTAGAAAAGCAGGCTGGTGTCAAACTGGTCAGATCCCTTCGCGCGTCATTTTTCCTGTAGATTCGCAGCGGTAGCCGTGAAGTCAGCATCTCACCGGCATGACGTGACCAGTGATGGGGTCTCCTGAAGAATTATCAGTTACTAATAAAAGTATCCATGTATGCTTATAAAATATATGTATGCATATATTATGTACACATACAGTAGTGTCCCCTTATCCACAATTTCGCTGTCCATGGTGGAGACACCAGTGGTTAACTGTGGTCCAAAAACGTTCAATGGAAAATCCCGGAAATCGACCGTCTACGTTTTACATTGCATGCCATTCTGAGTATGGCGATGAAATCTCATGCTGTCCCACTTTGTCCTGCCTGAGACAGGAATCATTCCTGTTTTCCATTGGCACTCTTACATGCTCCCTGCCTGTCAGTCACTCAGTAAGCATCTTGGTGATCAGATCACCTGCCACAGTATCGCAGTGCTTGGGTTCGAGTCACCCTTACTTGGCTTAATAATGGCTCCAAAGCACAAGAGTAGTGAGGCCGGCGGTTCACTACAAAGAGAAGCGAAGCGTGTTTTATTTAAGTGAAAATGTCAGTGTAGCACAATAAGATATTTTGAGAGGTGGGGGGCGGGGAGGGGAGAGATATCACATTCATATAACTTTCAATACATATGTTGCTATAATCGTTCTATTTTATTATTAATGTTGTTAATGTCTTACTGTACCTAACTGATAAATTACATTTTATTATAGGTATATATGCGTGTTTAGGGGGAAAACATAGTATATCCGTGGTTTCAGGCATCCATGGGGGTCTTAGAACGTATCTCCTATACATACGGGGGCACTACACACACACACACACGCGCGTGCGTGCGCATCCTCACAATAATGTACACACACACACACACGCACACACACACGTGTGCGCGCGTTCATAGGCATCCTCACAATAATGTTACCTTGAATGGCGCGCGTTCAGCTGTGTTTTCTGGATTGGGGAGCAAAGAGTGAAAGACTGAGAATATCTGATACATGTATCCCAGAAAAGAACCACCGAGAACAATTGCTTTAAGAAGGAGAGAGTCAGCGATGCTTTTTCCACAGAAAAATGCCAAAAACTGGGCTACGGAAAAATACTTCTGACATTACTGTACATAATGCATTTGTTTAATCGGAGACAGTACGGGCTGCTGGAGCAGAGGATAACTTTCAGAACCATATTTCCAGAGTTCAAGTTCCAAGTCCACCATTTTCTACTTGAGATGAGTTCTACGCATTTCTGAAGAAACCGAGTATTGGATCGGGAGTTCTGCATGTAAGACAAATGATGTGCTCACTGAACTTACTAAATAAGCATATTAAAGGGCTGGGGGGGAGGAGAGATCGCGAGCTGAGCACAGTTGAAGTGAAGTAAAGGTCAACTTCCCCACTATATCATTTGCTCGCAATCACGGTTCACTCCTTCCAAAGCAAGCTGTGTCGGCACGCCAATAAAAAGCTTGTTGAGACATAAAGAGGCTTGATGAATTTGTACCCAATCAGTAGCCTATTTTCAGTTCTATAATTCCATATCACTCGCTTTGTGGTGTTTGAACTATGTTCATTTACAGCGTATTGAACAAAAACAGTAAGTGCTCCCAGCCCAGTAAGAAAAAATAAAAAATAGCTTAAGCGCGAGTGACTTTTCAGCATAACTGAACGCTCTCACTGTCTGGGCCGCTGGGCGCCCACTGCCTGATACGCCCCGTGCAACGCGGTGCATTGGCCGATAAACCCAATGCTGCCCTCGCAAGCAACGTCAACACTCTCTTTCCTGTTCTATTGTAACTGATGACCTGCTCTATTGTAACTCACCACGAGACTAACAGGCTGTTCTGAGCATCCTGAAGAAACCAAGGAAGAAGAAAACTGTGTGTTCTCACGGAGCCATGAGCAGCATTTCAGCCATTTCTAGTTGATTTTCCTCTCTGTGATTTAAGACAATTTTGCAGTGTTATTGGGGAGTTTAACTTAAGGGACCATGCAGTAGTGGCAGCAGATGGTGCTTACAGAGACCACCCCCCTACCCCCCGCCAAAAGACAACAGCTATGCAACACACATGCCATGTGTTTTTTTTCTTATAACTGACAATTTCAGTTTCAATAACTCATCTCTGCTTGGGGTCGGGCATTTTTTTTTTCCTCTGCAATTTATAAAATGTGTTCCAGAGGCCATCGAAATCTATGAGAGTCACGGTTTGGCAACATTCTAATTCTTAAAGCTACGTATTGAATTTATTATGTCCGTGGTAATGACGTCTGTAGGAAGAGGTTAGAAACAAGTGGAAGATTCGAATGCTGAAGACGACAGCAGCGGGTTCAAGGCCAACGAAAAGCTGAGTAAGAGCCGAAGATGTGTGTGATGAGACATGTGTGTACCCAACTATACAAACATCCATTCATTTACTCCTTCTTTCCGTCAACAATATATATTAAGCTCCTACTGACACTCTGCAAGGTTCTGGAGATTCCAAGAGAAATAATGGCTTTGGCCCTCGGGGAACTAATAATAGTGTGCCGGGAAAGTCAGGCGCACAGATAATTATGATCCAATGGGATCAGCGACATTTGTCAAGACATTTCAAAGCACGGTGGAGTGAATGCTCATTAGGACGTTATTTACAGTACTGCAAGTAATTGGAAATGACTTAAATGTGCATCCACAGGAAACTAGTTAAGAAAATGAGACATAAACAGAATACTATGCAATCACTAAAAATGGCACATAGATCTCTTCCTGTTGACATGAGAAGCTATCTGTGACATAACGATGCGTGAAAAAAATAGGCGGGAGAGCGGCATCATAGAGGAGTCCCATTTGTGAGTAGTTGTAACAATTATTTAAAGATATCTAAATACAGAGACACATCTGTGACTGGAGGTCATCCAGGTGATTTTTATGCCTTCTTTATCTACAATGCTTGCCTCTTCAGAAAATAAGAACCATATGTCAATCTTTATAAAGGTGAATATTTTCAAGAGTAGTAAACCGCAGAAGAGAAAGAGGGGGAAAAATGAATGTTCGCAGAAGAGGTGATATTTGATCTGGTTCGTCCAGTTTGACTAAGAAAAGA